TAGAATCGGATCAAAACTTCCAAAATTGTACACGGTGAGAGGCTGTGATGCCGAATGATGTGGAAAACTGAAAGAGGGACAGCCACCTGAGAAGAAGCTGAGGACCGAGACTGCACAAGTGTGGGCTTTTGGCGTCTTGTCTATGCAGATCATCGACAAGACACTCTATCCACAAGGTGACTGAAAATATCTTTACTCGGAACTGACTGTTGCTGGCAGCATCGGGTTACACCGAGTCCTACGACGACAGGGTGATACCTGATTCACTGACCTTGTATTATGTCAAGCAGAGGTGCGGATCACGATTGAATTTGTGCTGATGATGAACAGCCTGAGGAGAGATCCGATGATGAGACCGACATTCGCGGACATCTGCAGGAGAGAAGTCCAAGTGTTATCGCAGTCGACTTTGTCCCCAGACCGATACGCGAACACCTACCAGAGGCAACACGTTGATCCTTATTCTCAGGTCAACATGATGGAATAAAGAAAGCTCGAACGAAGGTTGACAACTTCTGAAAGAATCTGCCTCCGCTCTTTCTTCGACCCGCGAGAAATGACAAACCACGAAAACCGAAGACAGCGGGTACACTCAGCAGACAATCGCTCTTTTGTCTTCCACGAGAGGAGATGTTGGCAGTTCATCTGTTCGCTCTATTCCTCGTCTTCCTCGATAGAGTTGACGGTCAGACTCAGGCTCAACAGAGGAGTGATCTGATGCTTCTATACAATAGCGCCGGAGGTAATACGACTCTCACACTGGACTTCTTCTGATTATAGGACAGGCAGTAGCTGGACATCCAAAACTAACTGGGGTGGTAGTAATCCCTGTACCTTTTATGGGGTTACCTGTGATGGGAGTGGTAATGTTACTTCTCTCAGATTGGAAAACATCGGGATGCAAGGGACTATTCCAAGCGGATTCGGACAGAACCTTGGCTACATGCAGATTCTGGCGATCACGGGGCACTATGCCGTTTCTGGTGGCACCAAAGGTGAGAGGCATTTCTGTGATTTGTGATCTGACGAATAGATCGAGAGATTAAACAAAACAATAGGAGTATATGGACCTCTGCCTTCCAGTATCACCAGCATGGGCAACTTACAGAACCTGCACCTCAATTCGAACGAGTTATCGGGCACCCTTCCAAACCTCTCTGCGTTTCCCAAGCTCATCTACGTAACATTTCACTCACGCTATGCTTTCTGAAATTCCGCAGGCCGACTTCGAATACAATCGCTTCACAGGCTTCTCTAACCCCAGTGGTCTCTCTGCCTTGACTCAACTCAAGCGTCTGTGGGTGTACCGCAACTACTTTGCGTCCATCCCTTCTGATGTGACCAGCATGTCCTCTGTGACATCCATACGGGTGAGTGGCAGGTTGTAGACGACATCTGACGTGTGAAGGCGGAATGTAACTACCTCACATCGAGTGTTCCCTCTGGTATATGGTCCATGCCCAACGTCAACGAGCTCAGCTTTGGATTTCAAGTCAGAGGTGATTCATCTGGTGATGGTAGCTATTCTCCGGCTGCAAATCGCATTCCTGGAATTGTTCCCAAGTCGATCTCTACAAAGACTCTGTTAGATCTGAGTGGTAACGCCTTCGACGAGTTTGAAGACTATACTATGGGCAGTCCGCTGGGCACTTATGCCGTCTGTGACATGTCGAGCAAAGGGTGATGATAGTGTGTGTGTTGATGAGGTCTGACGGGTTGTAGAAAGCCATCCGGACCGAACTTTGCCTGTCCCATTCCTGCATGGGCCAGCAGCAGCTGCTCAGCCACGTGCAGCTGTTACACACCGACTACATCCTCTGTGAGTGGAAATCCACCGAATGCAGGAGGAGACATCGTTATCACAGGAAGATACTGGGGGTGAGTCACCTTCTTCTCCATCTTCAGCCTGATCGACAAAGTCATCAAAGAAGAGATGAGAAGATATCGAAGAGAGACTGACAGAACACAGAGGAACGCCAAGTGTGACAGTGGATGGAGCGACGTGCACATACAAGTCATCGACTCGCACGACCATCACCTGTACAGCCCCTGCATGTCAGAGCTCACAGAACACGGGAAATGTGATCGTCACCTCAGGATGCAGTGGCAGTCAGAAGTCAACAGGGTACACAATGACATACCGTGAGAGGATAGAGAAGAGAAGACGATGACTGAACGAATGACAGAGGCACCCACGACATCGTCGACGACATCATCTACAACGTCAACAACATCATCCACTACATCGTCTACAACGAAGCCGACAACATCGACAACATCCTCAACATCGTCGACGACTTCCTCCACATCGTCGACGACTTCCTCAACAACGTCGACAACATCCTCAACATCGTCGACGACTTCCTCCACATCGTCGACAACATCCTCTACGACGTCTACTACCAAACCGACCACATCTACAACGTCGACAACATCTTCAACAACGTCTACGGTTAATCCGACTACCTCTACAACGTCGACAACATCGACGACTAAACCGACCACATCTACAACGTCGACTACTTCCTCCACATCTTCCACTACGAAGCCATCCACTTCAACAACTTCATCGACAAAGCCGTCGACCTTCACTACGTCTTCTACTACATCCAGCATCCCCTCTACCTCATCTACAACTATCGCCACTACCACTGACATTCCCTTCTGTGATCAGATCTTTCTCTCTTTCAATCGCTCTCTGTCCTCTTCTGTTCTGCAAGATCAGGTGAGAGTGCAGAGAGAAGGAAGGGCTGTGTGACTGACAGAGAGCAGCTGAGAGGGATACAGCCTTTTGCGACGCAGTGTCCTGAGCAGCTGAACGCAGTCGTGCTGCAGATCGCATCGACAAACTTGCAGAGGAACAAGACGTTTGTAGTGGAAGCAGGCAACATCTCTATCGCTGCTGGAAAGGTGATGCGTCTACAAAGCTAAATGACCCTCTCTAATGAGACGACAGATTGCAAATGGAACACAGTTGCATCTGATCTTCGACACCAGTGCAGCCTCAGGTCTCATCCCATCTGACGTGGCCGATCTGCTGCCTGTTAACAGCTCTGCCGTACTCTCTCTCTATGCGTTCAATCCATACGTGACGTCATCATCCACAGATACCGTACAGTGAGTACCATCGGTGATTGAAGTTGGTATGTTACTGATCGATGTAGATTTACGAACGTTGTGTCTCTGTCTGTCACCTCTGCCGATGGAACTGAAGTATCCGTCCATAATACGTCATCAGCCATCGAGATCGGCATGGACTACAACGCTGTAGACGGGTACGAGATCGAGTGCGTGTGGTGGGACAACAGCACAAGAGGCTGGAACAGAGAGGGCTGCAGGACAGACACAAGCAGTCAGCCAGTCAAGTGTCTGTGTAATCATCTCACATCTTTCTCTCTGCAAGTTACGCCGAAGGAAGTACCACCCAGTAACATCGCAGCGAAACCATTTCCATGGAAATGTGAGTGATGCGAGATCGTCACACGCAAGTGACATAGATACAGGGGTAGGAATTGGGGCTGGAGGTTTCGTCTTCATCTTGGCAGTGGCTCTCATACTCATCATCGTGATGACCAGGAAACGTAAATTGAAGAGGAATGATAATGATTTCGACATGACTACGACAAATTCGACGACTCCTCATGTCATTCCCGCAGATCAGATCTTACCCGAAGGTGATCGTTAGATCTAGATCTGTCAAGACTGACGTGTCATGACAGGCTACCTGTCACCCAGAGTCAGAAAGGCTAGATATCAGGTGAGATGGGACGATGTGATGTGAGACTGAAGGATGTTGACAGCTATCGAACGTCATTGTAGTTCGAGCACAAGCGGGCGATGGACTGAGCGATCAGCTGCTGCAGGTGTGTTGGGTACTATCTAGACTGAAAGGAATGACGCTTGGACAGAGACTAAAACACATCAACATCGCACAGTATCTGGGCTGCTATGTCGACACGATCGGCGACACCTACTTTGTGACCTACTATGCACCTGGTACAAAGATGACGGAATGGATAGGCATGGGCAACTATGACAACGAGACAGCACATCAGACGTGAGTGATGACGTCATGACACAGAAGAAGACGAGTGACGCAGATGACAGAGTGCTGCAGCTGGCAAACGTGATGGCGTATCTGTTCGATCAGAACGTCAACGACTATCGACTGACAGCAGACAAGATCATCGTGCAGCCAGACACAGGCGGCCACTTACTCAAGCTGTGGGACTTCCGTCTCGGCTCCAAGCTACCCAAGCTGTACACTGTGAGAGTCTGACGATACAGAGAAAAGACTGACAGAGAGACAGCCGCCAGAGAAGAAGATGAGGACAGAGGCAGCGCTTGTCTGGACGTTCGGCGTGTTATCTCAGCAGATCATCGACAAGCAGGTGTACACCCCAAACACCCCTTACACTGAGTACTACAACGGAGAGGACATACCCGAGTCGTCTGTAGAGTTCTCAGTCAAGCAGAGGTGTGTTCAGACGAGTGAGAAGAAGAGAGTGACAAGAGACAGCTTGAGGAAAGATCCGACAAAGAGGCCAACTTTTGTTGAGCTATGCAGAAGAGGAAAGGAGATTGCCTCTGTAACATCCTACAATGCTTCTTCCACCTCGTACTTGCCAGCTGTTCCAAAGCGAGGAAAGTTTCCATCGGTCTACCAGCCAACGCAAACGTCTGATCCCTACTCTCAAATTCAGATGTAGGAATAAATGTTGTTCGCGACTCACAGTCACATACACCAAGAAAAATGCAGCAGCGTGTGAGACTACTTAAAACCGCAGTGCAAACAGCGAAACTAGTTGTACATCCGAAAAATTGTCATCACGGCCCGTCTAGCTCAGTCGGTAGAGCGCACGGCTCTTAACCGTGTGGTCGGGGGTTCGAGCCCCCCGGTGGGCGCTACATTTTGTTTCCAGATGGAGCGCTCACTGACGGTAATGTATATATGAGGTAAATCTATATTTACATTGACTAATGCCGATCACCAACACCAAGGCTCCTTAGCACAATGGCAGTGCATCCGACTCCAGATCGGAAGGTTGGGTGTTCAAGTCACTCAGGGGTCAGCCCTTTTTCACTACTCAACAGCCTTTTTATCTGCTTTTAATCCGTGGTCGATGTACGAAATCTCAATCACTTCAGGTGCAAGAAGTGGTTATACCAGAATCAAGGAGACATCATCATTTATCCTCAAAAGCCGTCGTTGGCTTGTTTCACAACAGATGCAAAAGCGACTCGAAATTCAATATCCGTTGTGATCGAGTAGAGCCTGAACATCTGTCCGATCCTCCCCTCCTCCTGCTGTGATCCGACACTTCCTCTCCTCTTATTCTTCGTTTCTACTTCCTCTGTTTCGATCTTCAATCTCCATCTACATCGGTTGATTGTTCACCCCTCTCGATATTCCTCAGGACGAATTCTTTCGAATCGGGCGCGGGCAGTCTGCCCCTCTTTGCGGTGAATATGCGCAATACCTTCAACCTCTTCGTCGGGTGGACCTTGCACTCTTCCTTTTCCATGAGATCAGATACCATCTCGATCTCATTGGGTAGCTGTCACGTCTCAACCGTTTTCCTTCTGCTTCTCATCACCTTGGTTGACAGCGATTTCGCTTGGTACATTTTCATCTCTGCCTCTGCCAGGATAGACTTGATGCCCTCGAATCCCTCCGTCACCCTTTTCGAATGTCAACGAGATTTCGATCGATTCCACGCGAACGATCACCCTTCTACATCGCTCCAATCGATCCTTCTCATTTCCAAATTGAGCCGATCGAGTGCAGCTCGAACTGGAGACAGAGAAGCCACGGGCTGGCTCGTCAAGTTACCGTAAACGGTCGTCATACCAACCGCGATTAACCTGTCAGTGGGGTGAGACACACGAGATTTCCGTGAGATCTCACTGTCTGGTCAGATCGGAAGGGTTGATGGTCTCCATGTAATGTAAGATCTTCTCTGCTTCTCTGACCGAGTGGAAGAGTGGTTTCTGTTGGGAGGGTGGTCTGCCCTCACATTCGTCCCAGCACGTCTGCCAGAGATTTCCTGGAATTTTCATGCGTACGCTGAGGTCTCCACGGGGGTGTAGGGGATCGAAGGGCTGTTCTTCGATGAAATCTCGTGGACTATGCCATCGAATGAAATCAACCAATTGGGCTCCAGCATTGGCCGCCTTGAAGGATTGCATGTCTGTATTCTCGTCACAATTCGATCGTCTACAACGTTGTAGACGCTCACCGGATACGAGGGAGCTGGACTGCATGACGGCCCTCTTTCTCTGACCCTCCTCTGAATCTCCCAATTTGAAGAAAATCTCTTCTTGCTCCATCAGCATGTCCTCCGTCATAAGTCCCTGCGTCTACAACGCGTCAGTGATCGTTTCATTCGTATGAGACTCCACCTGGGTGTTGGGGCACATCATGGGTCGACCGTTGGCACAGTAGGTGTCTGGAATCGTTGTAGATGTATCCTTGGCCTGCTTCACGCTGGACCTTGTCATCTTCTTTTTTTCCGGACTACCTGTGACGGGCTGTACGTCTCAGTCGCGTTGTAGATGAACCGACATCACCTCCTCGTCTTCACTGCTGGCGCCAGCTTCTTCCTTGTTCTCCGCATTTTGAATGCAATAATTCAACTGTGTCACCGTGTCAACGATGGAAGAGAAAAGTCGATGAAATCTCACGAGCTGGAGTTTTTGATGGATGAGGCAAGATCTGAGATCGATCCTGTCATATTTGACGTTGGGCAGAGGGATCTTACTCTCCCAACAGACTCTCGACTCTCTCACAAATTCACCCCACAGAAGGCCCAGAGCTGCACAGTCGTCAGTGAGGTCACGTGATGCGCGCGCGTCGCATTCGCACATTTTAGATTGACGGGGGTATTGAGCAAGTGGACCAAGAAGAAGGCCAACAGGGACCTCGGGGGTGCTCCCTTGGCTGAAGGCAGGGTCTGAAAATTCCGTGAACATTCTCCGTCTCAATCTTTCGTGCCTCACCACGTCATCGCCTTCGATTTGGGTGAAATTTCGGTCTAATCTACGCCCCGTGGGAGAGATACCGAATACGTCTCTGATGCTGGTATCCACCTCGGTGATGCTGGGAACCTTCTCTGATTCCAGGAATTCGGGGCCCAGAGATCTACGTTACGTGTCATTACGCTTGTAGATGCTCACTTCATCACCTGGTGACCACATTGACGGCGTTCATCATACCCGTGTTGACACTGTGTACGTAGTTCTGTGGCTCTGTAGGTGTCGACATTTCATTCTCGTCGACAGTGACAGAAGCAGGTGGCGATGCGAACAACTTCCCGATAGAATTGTAAGACTCGCTCCTCTTAGCCACTCGACAGAGGAAGTGCATCCGTTGAGATAAGAAGGCAGAAGGCCTGATTCACCTTCAGAAGATATCCAAAAGTCCTATACATCTCTCACTTTTCGTCAAAGACACAACGCAAGTCCCAACGTGGAGCCTTTAAAACTTGCTCGTCAGAGACATTGACACCATCTCGTATGACCGATAGACACTCGTGCAACGTCTCGAAATGCCAGCTGGCCCCGAAGTCGAGAGCTGCAATGAGGTTGGTGAATTGAATCTCACGTTACGCACTCTCTATTGGATCTTCGGGGGGGTACCACAGCAATCGGTTCGTCTCCAATCTGGTCGTTAATTTTGGTGTCTCTACGATTCCCCTGCTACCAGCTGTCGTGACGTCACGATGATGTAGAACGGATGTCTTACTGGGCACGGCCGCTCCATCTCTGCCGGTGGACACGTTGGGTGAAGCCTTGAGTTCTGAAGAGGATGAATTTCGCATGTGGGTCGATGGTGATGCATACCCATCTTGGGATCTAATGATTGGAGATCATCTCGGGTGACCATGAATGTGAATTTAGAAGAGAAGGTGACCGGATGGTGATATCCAAACCTCTCCTTGATGGGCGCACAATCAGTGTAAATGGATGAGATCTGATCCTGATGAAAGTAGTCAGAAGGTGGCGTTATGTGTGGACGACTTACGATGCGCTGAAGGAAGAGAGAAAGTAGTCCCTCCACATCAGATGCCGAGTCTGGAACGGATGAAAGACTGTCTGCATCGAAGCGAGCGGAGACTTCCGTGTATGGATCTAAATGAGGCGATGGAGTGATAATAGGGTTGTTGCACCATCCTAAATACTTTCCTTGCCATCTGGTAACCCGTCAGAATTCCGACGAAAAAAAGATGGAGACAGAGGGTATCGATCCCCCTACCCCTCGCATGCAAAGCGAGTGCTCTACCATATGAGCTATGCCCCCGAATGAATAGGCCAAAAAAAGTAAGCAAACAGACCACGCCGTCTTTGATTTACACGGTTCAACAACGCGTTTGGAGCACAACCACTCGAAAAGAATGCTTCTTACCTCTCTCCAACAGCAACGAAGCATGGTACGGTGAATCGGACGTCCTCTCTCATCTTTTCTCTCCTTCTAGCTGCCGGTAGTATGTTGTTGTAGGCCACAGCCATGACAGATAGGAGTGTGTTGGCCATGCTGGAAGAGATGCTCTCACTAGGATCGCTCGCCGTGACGATGATGTACTCTTTCACTCCGAACCTGTAGATCGAATGAAAAAGATGGAGAGTGATGTCCACGAATCACCATCTCTGGAGATGATGCGTATTCGTTTCGAATTCGTTCTCTAAAGATCTCATCGCGGTCACGACATCTTCTGTCGTTCTGTCTTTGACTTGGTGAAATGAAAAGTCGTATGAGGTGTCAAGATAGTTGATCTTTTTTGTTCTGTAGAGATGAGAAGGGCTGTATGTGACGCATCTTCGTTCACCTGCTGTTGTAATTCTTCCTCTCGCTGACATTATCTTCGACGATGCCCTCGTCTGTCTCTCCTATCCACCATTGATTCAACAACTGCTCAACAGAGCTGACGAGTCTGAGCAATAATGAGTCTCCCATTTCGTTTTACAGCTGGCATAGAAGGTGATCAACTGACTCACTTCTCCCAGGGAGTGACTGACGTATAATCTACGATTTCGAAAGGTTCTTCCTTGTCTGTGATGTCTTCTACATCCTCATCACTGATAGCCGGCTCAGCTGCTCTGACAGGAACGGCTTGCGGTTCTTCATCCCCTCTAGATCCTTCTGAGGCAGATTCGAACCCTTCATCATCGCTCCATTTGAAGGAGATGGCCCGCTTGGCGTTCATCGTATCAGAAAATGCTTGTGTCTGTGTTTCTCCGTTGTTTGTCAACCAAAAGAATAAAATGCTCAACGGTATACGAGGGCTCTTCAATCGTGGACGTCGATGAGAGTTGAACACAAGATAGGCTGTTCTTCTGATATACCGCCAATGACGCCTGTGGGTGATCGCATATGAAACAGTGGAGTCAATAAACTGTAGTGCCTTTGTCCTACTCCAATCACAATGGTATCCCCTGTGACCCTAGAACTTATGACTGACGATCAACGATTCTCAAACGAGATCATTTGGATAAAATCACGATCGACAATCGATCAAGTTTGGAACATAAATTGAACCGTCATTGAATGTAATGGCATCACGTTTGGTATGGAAGAGATTGAATCATAAAAAAAGATGATTTGTTCAGCCCCCAAAAGACCTCTGTAACCTACCATTTTATCTGAGACAACAGTCACACTGACCCCGACACTTGAGAATCTGTCTGAACACCCTCTTCGTCAAGCATGCGTACGTCATTCTCAAAGAAAAGGGAACTGGACTTCCAAAATGTAGACACATCTGCTAACGCAATCGCTCACGCCAATTACCGCGATATACATATCTGCCGTTCTCACTTTGTGTCATCACAAACCACTCAACAGCACGATGAACACACGTCTTGCTCTCGCCCTTCTGGCCCTTGTTGCCCTGTCAGTGGCCGCCGATGACTTCATTCGAGTCCAAATGAAGAAGGTCCCTCAGGAGCAGCGCTTCAGATACCCCGAAGAGAACATGCACAGGTTCAGACAATACTTAACATCCACCACGAAGCGTGCAGGAGTCAACGTTCCTATCACCAACTTTGGCAACGCTCAATACTACGGAGACGTTTC